TTTGTTGTCATTTCATGTAAAATACATACACATGTATGCATCCCACACATATGTGGAGATTGACTTGGAGCAAATCTTTCTTAATTCTTTGGTAATTTAACAGGATTATGAGAGGAGTTTGCATTTTGCCATTTGAGTCCACAAGAGGGTAGCATCTTCTTAGGTACCCTGAGGAAAGTTTTCAATTGCTCCTTTGAAAATGTGTGTGTGTGTGTGTGTGTGTGTGTGTGTGTGTGTGTGTCTGTATGTGAGAGAGAGAGAGAAAGAAAGAGAGAGGAAGAAGGAGGAGGAGGAAGAGAAGGAGAAAAGAAAGGAAAAAATAAGAAGGAACAGGAAATTGGGAGAAGAGGGGCAGGAAAGCAGGAGGGGCAGAAGAGGGGAGGAGAAAAATGAGGGGAGGAGCTTGTTGGTGTAGTAGGAGTGGCTAAAAGGATACCTTTCTTCTAATTGGGAGAACAGATTCTTTTATTCTTTTTTTGGTGTTTCTTAGAGCAGAAGAACTACAAGTTTCTGAAGAAGTATCATTTTTTTTTAAGGTTTAAAATCTGAATCCTCAATGAACCAGGGGAGAGAATGATGGAACCCTTTGGTGTTTTAGTAGTGATCCTGTGGTTTCAGTTCATCTGTAAGTTTGGGTATTTGTATGGGAAGTAGTTGTCTATTCTAGGACTGTGGGGAGAAATATGAATGATTTTATTCTCCAAATAAGAGAGCATGGGAGGACCATGAAAAGGCAATTTTCATTCTGGACATTAAGCACCTACTACCCAAACAGTCTTCTTTGTCTTTTTGCACAGGGGTGAGCGGCCAGCAAAAGGAGGTGGAGCAGAGTCCGGAGACCCTCAGTGTTCCAGAGGGAGCCAGCGTCTCCCTCAACTGCACTTACAGGGACAGTGCTTTTCTAAACTTTATTTGGTACCGACAGTACCCTGGGAGAGGCCCTGAGTTGCTGATGTCCATGTACTCCAGTGGTGAAAAAGAGGAAGGAAGATTCACAGTGCAGCTCAACACGGCCAGCCAACATTTTCCTCTGCACATCAAAGGCTCCCAGCACAGTGACTCAGCCACCTACCTCTGTGCAGCAAGCACACAATGATCCCGAGGCACCTGCAGCCTGCACCCAAACCACAGAGACCCAGGCAGGCCTGTGGCAGAGCAGGGAGCACAGGGCAGAGGATTTCTGTACTTGCTCCAGATGCAGTAGGGATTAAGAACAAGGGAGAGACTGGAAGAGTATCTTAATAATTCTGAAAATAAATGACCATGGAAGGGAAATGAGAGACAAAATATTTGCCTGGTGTAAATATTTTCCTACTTTCTGTTGCCTCTCCTTAATTTTTAAAAAATTGTTTGGAGATACTGTATGTAGAAAAGGTGCACTTATTTAAGTTATACATCTTGTGCAATTAAAGATCGGTATGTAACCATGAAAATATTACCATAAACAAAGCTATAAACATGTCGGTCACTTCTAAAGTTTCCCTCCCTCCTTTTTGTTTTAAAATTTAATTAAAATTGACAAAAAATACATGTAATGCATACATCTTGATGTCTGCTCTAGTTTTAAATCACAACTTTATCAAGAGGATTAGTTTTGCGATGATTTTTATAAATGAAGAGAAACATTTTGATATAAAGTACATATTTCCTCACAGTTATTAATGCCCTTTGCTCTTCCCATTCAGTTTCTCAAGATGTCTGATGCACTGCACTAGGAAAGTACTGGTAAAACAGAAATGCAAAGGTAAGAAACGGGTCATAAAGATCCACTTTCAGAAAGGTTTAGGACATAATTTCTTTATAGATCTCCCATTTTATCTCAATTTCAGCTGCAACCTCACCCCTAGACTAGATGAAGACACAGTACATGAGTGAAAGGAAGGAATAGAGTCAGAGAGTGGGAATTGGACAAACAAAAAGCTCAGATAGCTGTAGAAATCAAATACCTGAAATGGTCTATGTTACCGTTTCTGAGTTCAGACTGAGTAGGTCTCAGAATTCCTTTCCAGAGCTTGGTTCCTGTGCCAGTGGGTGTGGCGGAGAGTGTCCTCCATAGCCATAGAGAGCTCCAAACACCAGTAAGGTGTGAGCAGCAGATGACTCCAGATATCTTGAGAAAGGTATTCGATAAGGCATTTAGAAGAGTTTGGGGCATGAGGTACTTTGTTCTCATAACTAAAGCTCTGCCTGGATCAGTTATCACAGAACACCTGGTGCTGGGGGATCTTTTAGTCAGCACTGGTGAGGAGAGTTAGAGACACTGAAGATCTCATGTGTGTCATCCCTACATCCCTCATTTCTGACTTCTAGGCACAATGGATCATCCCTGCCATTCCCACCAAGTCCAGGAAATATGTGTGGTCTACTGAAAATAAGCCCCTAATAAGGTGTAATAGGTATTAAGATGAACTACAAGAATAAAAATTCAAGGGGCTAGGGATTTAGCTCAGCGGCACAGCGCTTGCCTGGCAAGCGCAAGGTCGTGAGTTCGATTCCTGGTACCGAAGAAAAACAAACAAACAAAAAAGAATAAAAATTCAAACCACACTTATTCATAAAATGGATGTTATGGCCTATAAGTCATGATGTTGTTTATGTAGGCCAGGGGTCAGAAAAATTTGGAAATGTAGGATTAAGATTTAGTCATCCAACCCCCAATCTGGATTTGCGTCGCATTCTCAATCTGAAATTTGAAGGTTCCTAATGCATAATTCCAAATCACAGAAGGCAGTAAGGAAGGCAGAAGTTGTGTGGAAATCTCAATGGTGCTGCCTCCAGGTTTCTAAGGGCATTCCAGGGCACGGAACTGTGGAAGGAACCGCAGTCGTGATAGTGGTTTGAACCACTGTCATGGTACTGAACAGGCCATTTGATCATAGGCCGTAACACTGTATATATTTGAGTGTTGGTTTTAGAAATAAATGAAATAAAATATTAATGTAGTTTGAGTTTAAAAAGGAGAGCTTGAACTGATGTTCTTTGCCCATAATTTATGGAGGAAAGCAGGTTGAAAGGGAACCTAAAGCAGCGCAGATGTGGTTCAGTTGGAGTCTTCATTCAGCCTGATCTCCTGGGGAGCTTCAGGGCATGCGATGCTCCACAGGGCTGGCTCCTCCCACCCGAGGGAGGGGCCCAGACTGCTCCTCTCTGGTGCATGATAACAAAGTACTGGAGTCACTGGCTGTGGTCTTCCCTGGGCTAAGGTATCCTCTCCTGGATCACGGTGACTCTCAGTGGAAGAGGTCAGTTTTGTAAAGAAAGGGTTAACTGTGAGACAAAAGTAGCCAACACTCACAAAAGTTGGGTCGTGGCTGCACTGGTCTGGGAAAGGGGATTTAGTCTGGGTGTGAACTATCACTGTGGGATACTCCTGGCACATACGGAGCCACATTTCTATTTGCTCTACACCAAATTTTAATTTCTTCATCCACTTAATGGGATCTCACTATTTTTGAAATAAATTAAAGCACGTGTTAACAGAAAAGATCTAAACACATACATGCAAAATTATTATTTAAAATGGAGTCTCAGAATATTTTGAGATGTTCTCAAAATATTGAGATCAGTATGTAATTATATTTATTTCTTTTGGGATGAATTATTTGATATTGTGTATAGTACCTCTATCCAGTAGAAATGACATGATGAGTCACAGTTGATAATTTCAGGCTTTAATATGGAAAAAGCCACATATAGAGAGGCACCACCATCTATAATTATGAGTGGCTAACATGATGTTGTTCTTGGTTTACATTTGAGAAAGGCCTGTGGGCATTTGGACGGAGGCATATCATTCTGCCTTTCTCCTCCAGTGCTTCCTCGTAAATATGGGGTTGGCAGCAGCATGGCCTGTGGGCACGCCTGTGGATGGGCAGACTTCTTACTGGGATAAAAGAGTAAGAGACTGGCAGCTCAGTGCTCCTCTCATTCCCTGCACCCAGTGCCAGTCCGTCACATTTTTTTTACTGAAGTCTTTAGCCTTCCCAGGAGATTAGATTGAATTTAGTGAGGATTAAGCACCTGAAGCATTATACTTTTTTTTGCAGCTTTTGGGAATAGCATGGTTTTCCCAATTTCTCTTTGGATAGTTTATTGTTAGTATCCCCAGCAAATATATATGTATTCTCATGTATACATGTGTATATATGTATGAATTCTCAATTTCACCACAATGAAATGAACCTTAAACCTATCAAAGTTTTGATTTTGAAACTGAATTTAGGACAATTCAAAATATATTAATATGAAACTTAATTTTCTTTCTTTCAAAGGCTATACAAAAAATCTGGAGGATGGAAAGTGAAGTAGTAAAATATCTGGACACCTCAGCTGAGCCCACATATTCCTCCTACCCTCATACTCTCCAGCTTTGCTCACTGGCTTGCAGTCCCCTGAGCTTTTGAGATCAACCATTTAGGCCAGGACAAAAAGAGGGACAGGGAGGTGGAAGGACAAAAGCAACCTAACACCAGAAACAAACTATTCAAATAGGCATCACCTGCCTCCTGAGAAATCCATCAGCCATCTGTTTCCAGGTTGAGCCCTCCTTTCACATTCCTAGGTCCCCTAGAGGGAACACAGGTGTGGAATAGGATTTTTTTTTAATAATCTGGTCCTTATTCCACTTAAAGCAATCCACTTGGCTTATATTTTGACAGAACTTAACATCTTGTAGATAATTGTCAGTTTGTGGACTAAATGCCTGAGTTAGGAATCTCTGAGAATGCATGAAGTATAAGAACAGCCAGGACCTGCCCAGAAAAGAACCTGTCAGCACAGTAACTGTACTCTAGATTGTTATTTTAGTAAGAGTTGAACAGTCTTAAGTCTATACTAACTGCTGTTCTCAGGTCCCCTTTGTAGGTGCTGCCTAACCTATTACAGAGAGACACGTAGACCTGTCAACACTTTGAAGTAAGCCACACTTATTCTTTTGTGTGTACAGACCTTGTGGTCTATGAACCCAAGAAACCCCATTTCCGGTTTGAAGGAGCAGAATAAAAACTCAGAAAGTGCTTATATAAACTAGGAGGCAATCAGAGTCTCTGAACACAGACATCCAGGGAGAAGAAAACACACTGTACAGAGAAATACGGGCCACATCATGCTCTCCAGTCTGCTGCTGGTGTTCATAGCCATCATCTACTCTGGTACAGATGGTCCAAATGTGGTCAGGAATATTCAGGATAAAAAGATTGCACACAGGCGTGAGGTGCTTCACATGGGCTAGATGAGGAAAGGGGGATGAGGAAACAAGCAGGCAAACCGTGAATACAGTTGGGTTTGTGGTGGGGTCCTAAATTAGTCTGAATCTTCCAATATTTTGCTATTATGTCAGAGGATCAGCTGTATTTTCTTATTATTCCTACAGGACACACTGCAACACAGAAAGTGACTCAAGTCCAGACGGCTCTGTCGAGGCCAGAGGGGAAAGCAGCCACCCTGGACTGTTCCTATGAGACAAGTGTAGCCCTGTATGATTTGTTTTGGTACCAGCAGCTTCTCAGTGGAGAGATGGTTCTACTTATTCATCAGAGTTACTCTGGTAATAATGCAAACACTGGCCGCTATTCTGGGAATTTCCAGAAAAGAGCTAAGACAATCGTCCTCACCATTTCAGCCTTGCAAATGGAAGATTTTGCAACATATTTCTGTGCTCTTTGGGAATGCACAGTGCTTGCAGTGACAATAAAAGCTGAACAAAAACTCAGGAGCTCCATAAGAGACAGGCCCTGTTGTGGGAGTCCAGCTGAGACTCCCACCTGCAGATTCCACACCAGAAGGGAGCCTGGTGGTTGCTTCATCTGCGGTCTGGATCAGAAGATTCAGTTCTAAGTTAATCCCGTTTCTGATTTTTTTAGAAACTGGTGTCAGGAAACACTTCTAACGCATTCTACTTGAATGTTTGAGTGAAAAATACAGAAGTTGGGTAAAGTTGTCTAAAGTTGGAATATTTAGCTCATAATTATTTCATATGTTGGTTTCACTTACAGAGGGTCTCAGCATAAATCTGGATCTGGTCATCTGGAATAGTAATGCTAATCATTTCCTTAGACTCTCTTAGGTTTTAGATCAGTTAGGTGCAATCTGGGCAGTAGTACCACCAGAGTGATTTAAATAAGACAGGAATTATGCAGAATAGGCCTCTGCAATTGCTGGAGCTGCTGAGGGAGTCTCTGTGAAGCTTTTGTCCTCACATCTGGTAATGAGCCTGAACTGACTTAATGTGAGCCAGACCCACATTTGGGAATGGAATTTGGATGAAGATAAACACATACAGAGACTGTGACTTGAAAGAATATTATGGGACCTATTAAGACAACTGAAATCTACAAGGGAAAATTAAAACTTGAGATCTCCTTCATCTCACTTGTTGGATGACTTTCAAGAGAACAAAAACCATTGGCCATCACAGTCCATGAACACTTGGGCTAAGACAAAAAGGAAGTGAAGAAGAAGTTGTAATGGGAAGTAGAAGAGATGCGTTAACTGGAAAATGAGCTGACAGATTTATGACAACATGTGCGAGCTGCCCAAGTGCATGTAGCCCTAAAACTGCAGAGCTGCTAAGAAATAGCTGCTGAATCACACTGACCTTTCATGTCTTGTACCACTTTTTTTATGACCGACCCTAAACCAGAAAAATATATGCAAGCAAATTCTAGGAAATATGTATCTAGAGGGTTCAGTTGAGACATGTTAAAGCTACTGCAGTGCACCCTTATCAGCTTGACATCCATATATACTTCCTTTAACAACATTTAAAGTTTATATGAAAACAACAGAACAATCATGGCTCCTACTAATGAGACGCAGCTATCCCTTATCAACCAAAACTGTGCCTATCTTGTCCCCCAAAGAGTATACAAATCCATATACCACCTGTGGGTGATGGCCCTGTCTCTTCCAGGTGAGTCACATACACTCTTTCATTAATATACTGTAGCTTTAGCACTAAGATGTAATGCAATAGAAGACTAACTCTCACCATCGCATTTTATGTTACTACATGAAGGCAAATTGGAGGACAGTAAACTATGGTCAATATAGAAATAAATAAATTAACATACAAAATTAAAGACATTGCATAACTATTATAGCCCTTGTCTCCATGAACAGCCATGTTATTGTAGCTGGCTTTTATAACTGCCTGATCTGTTATCCACTTGTCTTGGTTACTTTTCTCTCGTTGCTGGGACAAAATACCTGACGCCCAAAATGAAGGAAGGAAAGGTTTATTTCGCTTACAGTTTGTGGAGGTTTCAGTCCGTACTTGGCAGATTACAAGGCAGACTGGCACAGGGTAGAGGGCTACAGCTCCTGGCAGCAGAACACAGCAAAAGCAACAACCACACTCACCAGGGTGGAATGGCCTCAAGCACTCTTTTTCTCTCCCTTACATATGCAAACTATCCACCCCAGGGCGGGTGTAGCTCTCACACCCATAATCAAACTCTAAAAGCCTGCCCCATGGCCACACGAGGCTTTTGGGGGACACCCAAACACAAACCATAACACCACTGCATAGCAATAACAAACACCTCCACTCACTGGTGTGCGTGACTTTTTGTGAAAAAGCTCTACCATCAATGTTATGTGGAAGGCTGTGAAGTTGGACAATGAACTCTCTAAGGCCATTACTCTGTTTCTGTGGGGAGTTATGCACCGACAACTTAAAGAACATCCATACTTGGTGTGCTTTTTTAAGTGAAACAACAACAGAGAAAACATCAATAATCAGAGAAATTTTATAAACTCTGTTGGAGAAAAATTAAGAATAATACCTGAATTCTCATTGAAAGCAATAGTAGCCAAGAAGTAAAATCTTTTTAAAGTACTTAATACAAAAATAAATAAAGCTTTCATGCTATCTTTTATGAACATAAATATATTTCAAACTATAGTTTTTAAAAAATCTCTTTAAGCCAGGCATGGTGGCAGATGTCTACAGTCACATCTACTCTGGGGCTGAGACCATGGGATTACAAATGTGATGTCAGCCTGGGAAATGTAATGAGATGCTGTTTTAAACCCAGCCAACCAACAAAAAATTCTTAAGAAGGGAGCAAGTCCTTTCACAGACAATTTGTGATATGTATTTATTTTCTTTTTTTTTTTTTTTGGTTTTTCTCTGGTACCGGGAACCGAACTCTGTATTTATTTTCTTTAACATTTTGAGAGAAAAGATTTCACTGCGTGGCCCAGGCTGGCCTTGAATTCCTGGGTCCAAGTCCTCCAAGTTGTGGAGACTACAGGCATGTACCAGTGAACCTGGCTTTGCAGTGCAGATTTCTGAAAAGGGACTCACATGCACAATACAGAAATAAATTGAAATTCAACAAGAGAAGAAATAATCAATAACAAAAATGAAAACAGCCACTCCCAAGATATGATACTGAATAGCAAATATGCGTATAAAAGAGCACTTAATATCTTTGCCCTCTCTTTCTGTAATATTAAGTGCATTACTCATTAGGAAAATGTTAATAAAATCCTATGTGAATTCTTTATCTGTATCCTTTCAGCACCTTGAGTGTAATAATACAATCAATAGTTAACGATTCCCAGAGGTCAGAGAAAATAATAACTACCTCCAGGTAAAGGGATGATTAATGTTTCTAAAAGGTTCCAGAAAAGGCATTAATTAATGAACAATAGATCTGGACATTGAAGGAATGGGAGGTTTTCTCAAAAGAGTAAAAGTTAGCATTTACTTTTTTGTGTTTATTTTTTTATTTTAAAGAGAAAAGAACAGAAGCAAAATAACGAAAACAAAGACATAAACAAAAGAACACAAAAACAATAAAAACAATACAGAATTTCAAACAAGGTGATAGGAAATTAACAATGTTTTTTGTATTACACATTGTTATTTTCAAATTGGTTACTGAGATAACCAGATATAGGCATGTCAGACTGATCAAACAATTAAACATTAACTGTTCAATAAGCCAATAGAAATTATTAGTAAAATTATCTTAGCTATCTTGTGTATATACATATTAAACAATTAAACAATAACTTTCAATAAGCCAATAGAAATTATTAGTAAAATTATCTTAGCTATCTTGTGTGTATATATATATATTTTTTCCCTTCCTTCTTGTCTTCCTCTTTTCCTTCATCCTAGTTGTTCTTTTCTTTTGAGCAGTTTCTTTCCCTTTCATATATCTATTGTACCTTTCAGATTTTTGGTATTTACTGAGCTTACTATATATGAGGTACTGTTGACATTTCCAAACCATTATCTAAATTTAAACATTAAAATTCTATTACACAGTTTTTAGGCCAGGTGTAGTGGTGCACGCCTGTAATCCCAGCACTCAGGAGGGAGGCAGGTGGATCGTTGTGAGTTTGAGACCAGCCTGGGCTACAAAGAGAGCTCAAGGCCAGCCTGAGCTGCATAGCGAGACCCTGTCTCAAAAAGAAAAAAAAAATTCTATTACATAGTTTTTTTTGTTCCCATTTTTAAAGTTTAGAATATGGGACATAATTTTCTGTAATTCTGAAGAATAACTAGGATTTGCAGCACTGTCATCTGGGGTACAGTATCTGAGAGACTCTTAAGGAGCAGAGTTTTCACTACAGAGAAGCAAGGGCCCCAGCATGGGCGGATGTTATCACAGTGATGGTGACATATGGAATACAGCTAGATTATGAAGGAAATTGTACATAAAGACCCCAAACTTAGGTACAAATTGCTCAAGGATCAATAATCACCGACCAGTTAGCAGTGCTGATGCCTTCTACTGAGTATTTTTTCCTGGGGCTATAAGCTATAGGAAAAGATATTCCCCAAATAGTCAGAGTAGGTTTCCGTATCAGGACCTTTGCCTCTTGCCTTTGTTCTCTCTACCTGTGCTATCTATGTGGTATTACAAATAGCTCCTCCAAATACCTCTGCGGCTCACCTTTGCACTTTCTCTATGTCATTAGTCAAATGTCACCACCTTGTAAACTTGTGTTTAAATCTAGTTTTCTTCCATGAGTTCAGGATCTAACATATTCCTTGTATCCAAGAACTGTAAATGTTCTTGGCCAAAGGGATTTCACCTGGTGCCATTATAATATTTTTGTGGTATCAAACTGGCTTCCTTGCTGCCCTCTTATGTTCATGCTTGAAACTGTGGCAAAGTCTCCTTGCAGTAGGAACCACCATTGCTGAAGTAAGGTCAAAGAACTTCCCATTGCGTGATGTTCTGGGTTAGCTCTTAAGCAGTATAAAGTATGTGAAATTCTGTTCTGCTGGGGAGAAATTTATTGATTAATAAAATCCCACCTGCCCTCCAGTTGCCTCTCTTCACTTCATCCCTCTGTTCCTAGAGAGAAGTAACCCAGGGCAAATGAACCCCTATACCACCATGAAGTGGGATACAAGGAAATGTCTAGAAAAGATTGTGGAACTTCTCAATGATTTTCCCAGGAAGTTTTACATGTGTGCTTGTTGTGGAATGAAACCTCATTTGGTTTATTTTCTGGAGGAAAAGCATGAGTTAAAAGTGTCCTCTATGGCAACAAGAAAGGGATTATGGATCAGAGAAGATGCTGTGTGCTCTGTCTGGGGTGACTTTTGAGGAAGGGTTATAAGTCCATGGAGAAAGATTTTGAAGGCAACCAAAGAGACACACCATCTAAGATATCCTTGTGCACATGCAGCAGATGGTACCACGTCTAAGTCCCATGGCTCTGCACGTAGCTCAGTGGTACAGCACATAACTAGTGTGTGTGTATTTCTAGATTCAGTCCCTAGTATAGACAAAAGTACCATACATATATTAGGATCTTCTCCTCTTTAAGCAAATATCCTAATGATGAGTGAGATATCAAGGATTCAGCCCACTGACTTCCACATTTATTTCTCCAGTTCTGATGGATTTTGTTGTCGCTACCTGTGATGTTACAGAAACCCTTCCCCAATGTCTGGGTCTTCATTTATTTCCTTTGATCTTTTCTTCTTCCTTGACAGCTGCTCAGAAACACCAGTGGGAAGGAGGTCTTTCTGGACGAAGGCCCCATTTGGTGTTTTTCCACATTCCTATTAAACAGTCAATAAGGATGAGGCCAGCAGGAAGGGCAATGAGGAAAGCATTCACAGGGCTCTTTACATAAATCGCAGGTGAGCACTGTGCACAGAGGTCCGGATTGTTGATCTTAGATTCAAGGCTATTCCTGGTGATTGGAAGAAGGAAGTATTTGGTTTAGATCAAGCTTTTCCTGTGTGGTGTAGGATAGCCTATTCATTATTATTATTCATTTCATGTACAGAATAGAAGCTTGATCCCTTTAAAATGTAAATCCCTTTAAAGAGCATAGAGCAAGGATTGCCTTTTTTAGTGATTGCCAAGTCCAGTAAACAAAATGTAGCAGAAAATGCACCGCTTCAGCCAGTGTTCTTCAGTTCCCTGGGTGACAGTTCCTGTTGCAGTGCTTGTTGCTTCTGTGTCTTAGAAGCGGCTGGTCACTGTGATGCATAGCTGGTCACTACCAAGCATATTGACAAATCAAATAAAAAGCAGCCAAGTACTCTACCTCTGCACCTTCCCTTTGCAACCCCATAAAAACCTTCTGCCTGAGCCTTAAGGCCTGACATTTTGAGGGACAGTTGATTCCCTGTCAGTGCTCATCTGACATTAAATAAATCTGCCTCCAAATCCTGGGTACTGTTTTGGTGTTTCTGCTTGCCATTGCGTCAGTGATGCTGCTTTTTCTATGTTCAGAAAGAGAGAAATAAGAGTCACAGTAAACTCAGCACACATTTTGGATTTCAGAACGGAAACCCTAATTCATTTCAGGACAATCAGACAAGACCCTGTCAGCTTCAGAGGGACTCACTGACTTTTGCCAAGTCA